TTACGTAATTGGTCGCGCGGACTACCTGTGTAGTCCGGGATCTTTACGGAGCTACTGTTGCACGACTGCACGCGCCCGGCGCTTGCGCTGCACTGTGTGAGTCCCTCGAGTGTTCACTCAAAAGTACCTAGCGGCACAAGAAACTAACGCTTACAGTTTAAGAGGGGTTGTTGATTTTGTATTGGTGGACTACATATGTAGTCCGCGCGACCACTGCAGGGTTAAATATTCAAAATCGCGTAACATTTGTAAATAAAGAAACCGCGACGGATCTAGTTAATGCGATTCGTAGATATCTTAGTAAATCCTTTCTTTAATATTTAGATTATTATTAGGTGGTGAAATTACTGGCACATGGAACTAGTCTTAGGGTGATGGGCGCAGGGACAGAGCCCCTCAGATCTTTACGATTTAAAGCTCTGAGTGGCGCTGGAACTGTTATGGGCAGGCATGTAGCTTAACCATCAGGCGTCCCGTCACTTGATATTATAAAAAAAGGTTAGATTTATTCCTTTGCAAAGTTGTATTAGAATCCTTATTTTGAATTCAATTTTAGACGCCTGAATTAATAAAAACATACTACATAAAAAATATGGAATCTATACAGATAGATACCTCAATGGTAATTCCCATCACCATCCTAGCCAATTAGCTACCGTGGGCAAATCTTTGTTTCAGAGAGCACATGGTGTCTGCGACAGTAATCATCTGGCAGGGGAACTTCAGCATATAAAGCAAGTCCTACATGCGAATAAATTGAAGATTGCACGCCAATGCCGCAGGCCCCATGTGATGACCACCAACAGTCGAGCGAAGACCTGCCAATTTACCTTATGTGAGAGGTGTTACAGACAAGATCGGAAGAGTCCTCAGGCGTGCGTCTATCAAGACCTATTCCAAGCTCCTGAGAAAGATTTTTCAGTTCCTGATACCCGTGAAATGTAACATTCCCTTACAGGATGCAGGAGTTACAAGCTTGTAGTAATAGTTTCATTTCCTAAATATAAGGAACGCTTTTCAGTTTCATCCAGGGAAGTACTGCCATTTTTACTATTACTGCCGCCAAGCAATGTGAGTATAACTGCGTTCCGGTTTAGAAGCGTAAGAATGATGGTGAAATTACAGGTGCATGGCACTTGTCGACTGATGTCTACGGGCGCAGTGCCAATGCCCTTCAGATCTTTATACAATATAAAAAAACAGCTTTGAGATCAGTGGGAGTTATAATGTAACAGACAGACATACTGATTTTTTTTATATTCAGAGCCATTCAGAGCTTTAAATCGCAAAAATCTGAGGGGCACTAACATTTTTCTTGAAGGCAGAAATAGGTAAGGTGGTAATACTTCCCTGGTGGAATTCTTTCACAACGAAGTCTACTGCTGCTAAAATATTGATACACAAAGACTTTTCAAACTTATAATTCCCCTTTTTTGTCTGGCATTATAAAAAGATAATAATCAGGGAGTGCAATAAGTAACACCTGAATATTTTTACGTCATGTAACTATACACAACATAATTGTGAATTGATGTATTAATTAACAAGCAAAATTTTACAAGTCGAAAATTCTGATGAGAAAAAACAGTCAATGTAATTCAAAAATCAGGTAACAAAATTCTAAATATTAAACACAAATAACAATTAACCGGTTGTATTCAATGGTAATTTGCGTGATAGTGATAATGACGTGAGTTAGGATGAAAAATTACAAAACAAACATTATAAATATTATTTTAAAACGTGACTAATGTGTAAAGCCAGATTTATATTTGACCAGTTGAGTTATCTGCATTGATATTAAGGGATTTACCACATTTACTGATGCATTAAACCGATCTGACAATAGTCTTAAGAGCGAAAACACGTTATGCATTTTGTTTCGAAGCTTGTGTGTGAGGTTGTGACGTACGCAAAAGGATCCACTCAGCTAATGCCATAGCCGAGATTAAGGCATCGTAGAGTTGAATGTCAAGCTTAAGGGTCAACGACCCTGAGTTCAATATAAGACACTAATGAATGGAGGGAGGGATCAAATAAAAAGCTGTGGTAGCCTAATGGTTTGACCTACTCTACAGCTGAGGCCGTGAGTTCGAATCCGGATTTGCACCTCTAAGTTTTCGGAATTTAACTACGAAATTTAATTTGAAATTTATTAGGTGAAAGAACATATCATGATAAAACCTGTATGTTGAATTAGGTTCACAACGAACAACGTGTAAAGCCAACCCGCATTGGACGAGCATGACGGACTATAGCCTAAAACCCTCGCCAGAGAGAAGACCCGTGCCCAGCTTCCCCTTCCTTTCTACATAAGCTTTCATTATAGTGACCCTCCCTACCGACCTTCAGGGTATACGAGTAGGGCACTATAGCCTGTCCGTGCACAGGAACCTTCTAAATTCAGGTTCAGACCCCAGATAAGCCAGTAAACGGGGTTGTCACAGACCGTTATCACTGACTTCACCTGGTTCTCAAGAGGGTAGTGCCTCGGGTGATCCGTAGCGGGTGCGAATGTAAGAACAGTATCGTCCCTATTTTGCGGATAGGTACTGAAGCTGTAGTCACGCTCACTTCCCGTTGCAACTTGCACAACTAACGGTTGCCACCCTCGACTACTACGCCGTCGACTCTAGAGTCCACTATCAAATCTCGTCTTTGGTGGCGGAGCTGTAAGGCACGCTCACTTCTCGACACGCCGAGGCCTCTCTCTAGTTCCCAGAAACCTGCACAGTTAGAGGGACCGGAGAAAGTCTAACTCTTCCTCTCCTAACTCTCCGGGCTAGCACCGGAAATGTCGTTCGCAGTTACTAGGGACAATGTCATGCCCAGCAGCCCCGTATCTTTCTACATTAGTTTTCATTATAGTGACTCTCCCTACCGACCCTTAATGTGCCTAGCAGTGTGACATTTAAATGGGTTGATGATGATGAACTCATCAAAATCATGGATTGTTTAACTACACAACCAAAATTCAGCTTTATTGAACCACATTAAAAATATGTTATTTATATCGACAAAGTTATGCAAGAATAACAACGATGTCACAGTTTTTGTCAGCACAGTTTTTAAAAAATCTCATGCGACTAGTTTTATATTTATCATTAACATTATCACTTCTTATTAATAAATGGGAACGCTTATTATGAGCCGACACGAAAAGATAGGGTATCGATTCTCGTATGATTCTTTTTGACGACTCGTTTCTTGAAGGCTCAATCGGCTATTCAATCAATTCTTCTTCAATTCGAAATATTATCACAGATCAATAGCACAGGTACTTGTTTACTTAATTAAATTATCAATTACACAATAACTCTTAGGATTACGTGGATAGAAATGGATTAAAAATGTGAAACACAATGAGTTCAATGCTGAGCTGGCCTACGTCCGATTCGTCAACAACAACAAGTATATCGGCTCCCGTTTCTCCCGCCTAAGAGTGGTTACCCGCCGACTTTTGGCAGTGACGCAAACGCGCTTACATGTAACTCACGATTGCATTGCTACACTTGCGTTTTATAGGCAATTACATAGTTGCAATCGCTTATAGATCTCAAGTGTACCGATGCAATCACGCGTTTGTATCGATGCAGTCGCGCGTTTGCACCGTTGCTTAAGGTGCCGTGTGTAACCGTTGACTCCGGTCGGCTAACCTACCAACGTCACAATTGTTGTCAATACAACAATCGCATCTTATGGCTCTAACAACGTCACTATTACAACTGTCACTTCCGGTTTTGCCAGCTCTGTATTGACCACACCCAAGTTGCAAAATAAGTATTTACAAGTTTCAGCCTGATAGTTTAACAAAAACATCATACACGTGCGCTAAATGTGAACAAACAAATTAACAAACAACTTCACACAGAAGACAATCCTGTATCTGCGTCACTAAAGTCATGAATTATTCAATAAAATAAGTATAGGCAAAGTCGAGGCTGCTGAGAGTGGTTATGACCCGCGGAGAGTTGTATAGAAACAAAACAAACATGACGACGTAGTGGTTACATTCTCACATCAGACGCGTCATAAACGTCCCACTTCCGGGCAAGGGTCTACTTTAAAGAGAGGACCATGTATTACAAAAGGCAACAACTTCAATCTATAGCCAAGAACATTCAAAGCAACTACATGTTCCAAACAAAACACTATCAATAGCGATAATGTTTTAGTGTTGAAATTTATCAAAGAGTATCAGTACCGTAGTACCGTGGATAGACGTGACAGACAATCTAAACTATTGGGAACATCGAGTATATAACCAGAAATAGAGACGGAATATCATTTAATTTGTTTGTAAACTATTCTGCCATATCATAACGGTGACAACTGTGCTCCGATTGGCCAGCCCGAATTTGAAACAATTGACGGGTGACGTCAATGGCTATCGCCAATTGTTTCACTTCAAATTAACTCGTTTAACTGGGGCTTTACTATAATGGACGAAAATTGCAAAATTACATATTTCATCCAGTCACCATCGTAAGCCAACTAATCGTTTGGACCAAGTTTGTGAACCCAAACACGGTAGTTCCGCTGTTCTGTCGTGGTCTCACTAATTTATCCCACTAGTGGGACCACGAGAAAGGCTTATTTATTGTGGTCCCACTTTCAATTCTACTGTAACCAGTTGAGATGGGTAGTGTGCAGCTGCACAAAGACGACAGCATCAGTACGAGATTACCATATTGTTGTAATGTCATCGGATTTCCATTGTGTACCAAAATTTCAAGTTGATCGGATATTTTGTTTTTTTTTTCGGGTAGGCGCCTCATAAGCATCAAAGAAAATAGCTCCCCTATTAAATTGTAATTTTAATTACTTACATTAGTATTTTCTTATGTATAATCACAGTTAATTGTGTTCACTGACCTATCTCACTCGCCACACGATCAATTTTCCACTTTAAACACTTTGAGCACAAAATTTCACTAATGGACCTGTCAGCCAAACTTGCTGCCAACCTGGACGACTTATAGAAGATGTTTGAGTCAAGAATGGGGGACTATGAGGCCAAACTCCAGGCTTCGGATACTTCTCCTGCTCACCGCAATATTGCATCGCTTTCCCAGGACTTTGTACTTCAGACTATGTCTAAACTTAAGGCTCAGATCGAGCTTATATCTTTGGGTCTTGACCGCCATGAAACATTTTTGCGCAAAAAGGTCCTGCTTTTCCATGGTGTAGCTGAGAACAAGGAAGAACAATTAAATTCAGTAATTGTGAAATTGTTGCATAACCAATTGCATTTAGCGGAAATCCATGAAAAACACTTACTGGCTTGTCACCGTTTGGGACCATGGAGATCCTCACAAAGTAAACCTAGAGCTGTGCTGGTTCGATTTGGTGATTTCGAACTTCGCCGATCTGTCTGGGACAGTAAAACTGCGTTGAAGGGCTCTGGTATCACCATATCTGAGTTTCTGACTAAGGCGAGGCACTCCACATTTGTCGCAGCTCGTAAGCACTTCGGTGTTAATCGGTGCTGGTCTACAGTGGGGAAAATCATGATCGTTCTTCCTGATAAGACCAAAACGAAAGTAGAGTCAAAAAATCAGGAAAAGAAACATTAAGCCTCCTTGTGGAGTCGAATCTACAAAATCTCGACCATCGCAGAAAAATAGCCTGCTTATCGGTTTTCTATCGAATACATTTCGGGAAGTGTGCGCAGGAGCTTTTCAATTTGGTTCCACCATCACCGTTCGTCCTTCGGTCAACTAGAAGCTCCAGAACACTCCATCCTTATGTCGTTGATATACCACCTATTCGCACTAAGCATTTTTTATCCTCCTTCTACATCTGTGAAGGCTAGAGTGGATAGACATTTTTTAGGCAAATGCATCCCATCGTCCGTCACATCGTCACTTAACATCAGGTGAGATTGTGGCCAAGCGTGACGCTGTTATTAAAAACAGCCAATTACAGGTTTCCACCTATAGTTTCAAACAAATCAGACATGAGCATTAAACAAATGAACAATAAACCGTATTATTTCTTAACAACATGCGTTTAGATAAAATATAACACAAATTATTTAATAAAATTAAATATAAAATCCGTGAGTTTACGCTTTAGCGCATCTATATTACAATGGAATATAACAATATCCAGATCATGATTGCTCAGCACACTACCCATGCTCTTGCAAACTCTACATTTTTTTTTTATTTATTAAGAAATAGGTACAAAAAGAAGACCTTAAATCTAGGCTGCTAACGGTGTAACAAAAAAGTGATTCATTTGTAACATTAACTAAGTTCTTGCTATTTAAATTGCAAGTAAAATTACAATAAGGAAAAATAATATTAAAAAGCAAAAAATATGGGTAGGTGCCACCAATACGTCACACATTCCAGAGTTTCACATTTTTTTTAACGTAACACATGGAAGTATTTTGTTCCGTTCTTAATTTCTGAGACACAGAAGGGTAACCTATCACAAACTCGAATTTTATTTTCCGAAATACCGTTTGTTCTAATTTTCCGAATTATAACGAAACCGTCGTTCTTTCAGGATATGTTGGATGTTTATTGCAAAGACACGATTAGGTGCGATTAGATTAGGTCAAGTTAGGTTTAAAAGAAAAAACATTTTCCTCATTTCGGACTACTTATAGGTAACCTATTTCTTATTTAAGTAGTAATTAGAGTATAATCCTGAATTTTACTATATTTTTTTTCCAATGATTGATTCCACTGACACTTTCACTGTTATGAATCAACCAAAGCCATTCGGCGTTGGATACGAGAATCGGTCCCCAGACAGTAACCTTATCTATTTAGACTTATCTACACTACTGAACAAATACAAAATTATTCCCGATAACAGATTTATTTAACATTTAGGAAAATAGATCACCCAATAGTAACTATTGGGAAAGTTGCCGGAAAGTGCGCGGATCCGGATTCATCCCCTAGTTTGCCACCCTTAGAGGTGGAATACTTTCTTCAAATTTAAAAGGAACTACTATTGAGGTACACTCTTTCCAGGAAACGAAGTATCATCAATACCAGTTGACAAATGCCAGAGTTATCGCATAACATACATACAAAAAAACACAGACGAATTGAGAAGCTCCACCTATTTTTGTTGGACTTGTTAACACAAGTAACACATTAAGTTTTGATGGGATATGAAAGATACTTCCTTAGTATTACGTAGAGTCTGTGGTATCACTCAGGACAGCTTTTGTGTCCGACACTGGTACAGGGAAAGGTGGTAGCCCAATTGGAAAGTGGTTGTAAAATATAACATTTCTATGACTTTAACTTTTAATTTACGTACATTTGTGAATGTTTAATAGCCATCTTGCTAGCGGTGAATGGAAAAATGAAACCAGGGAATCTACGGTTCACATCCCTTGGAAAACGTGTAGAACCTAGTATGACTTCCAATTCCGTCCAACGTTAACATTATTACACCCGGATGCGTACACGTGCTTATATTGTATACACAAAAAATTATTATTGTACGTAAGAAATAAGAAGTCTTTCCTTGAAGGACGTAGTATACGAGAAGCCATATACGCCACCCGAACGCCACCTGGACACCACCCGGACGTCAAAAAGGCTGAACATCCAGGAGTCTACCGGATGCTAAAAGCCGAAAGGAAAAGTTTTTACCGATGGTTTTCTCAAGAACCAATTTGACCTTCTATTTGAGGTTTCAGGTCATTTTTACACAGTAATAGAGGAAAAAGAATGCCTTGGAATAAATGTATTCCAAATCATAATGGATGTGGACGGTAATGTGGATACATTCAGGCACTAGGTGGCTACGACTGGTGACATCATACAGCCTCTAGTGGCCGCGTTTCGTGACTCAACTTGCCACCGATGACACACGATACTCGTACATAGTTTTGTAAGAAATATACATTACATAGGTTTAAAATGGAAAGTGATTTTCTATACTTATTTAGTACCTACAATGCCATTAAATATTGCAATTAGAAGCAGTAGTACTGGTACCTTACCTATTTCTGCCGCCAAGCAATAATATTGGCAGTTTTTAAGGTTAAGGGTGCTGGTGACATCACACTCACGGGACTTGTCAACTTATGTCTCAGGGTGACGGGCGCAGAGGCAGTACCTCTCAGATCTTTACGATTTAAAGCTCTGGCTTGAATTATTCGTCCCATTACTTGACATTATAAAAAATATATTAAAGGATGCCATGGTAGTCGAATTGTTTGACCTACTGCCTCTCACACAGACGGTCTTGGGTTCGAATCCAGGCTTGCTGAGAGGTGCAAGTTTTCGGAGTTTAAGTGCGAAACCTCTATACATCTGCAAAGCAATTTTATGGTGTGTGTGATGAAGGCCCCAGTCTGCGTGGGACATACCACCCAAACCCTCTCATTGTGAGATAAGACCTGGGACCTGCAATCGTACTATTATAGGCTAGTAGTAATAGTAGCATTAGATCTCTATTAGAAGTACTGACACCTTGCCTATTTCTGAGCCCAAGCACTAATGTGAGCTTTACTGCGTTCCGGTTTTCAGGGTTAGGGGTGCTGATGAAATTACAGGCACGTGGGACTTTTCAATAAAGGTCGGATGATCGGCGCAATGGCAGTGCCCCTCAGATCTTTGCGATTTAAAGCTCTGAGTGTCACTGCAACTGTTATGAACAGGCGAATCAGGCGTGTCAGGCATTTAATACAAAAAAAAATATTGACAAGTGGCTGTACTACACCACAATGGAGACACACATATACAATCACAAATTATACCCAAGCTCACTGTACTTACCATACTGGACTGGCGCGCAGAGGACCCGGGCTCGATTCGGCCCGAGAGGAACATTTGTATGGCCTACATTTATTTACTCACGTGAGCTTGGGTGTAATTTGTGGTATACAATACAGGGTCTTCCTAGTGCGCGGCCATGAGTGTGTACATTATTATTGTTACTATTTTATTGTCCCGTCACTTGTTATGTTTAAGAACAGTATTTTTATTATTATTATTTATACAAGTTGATAATTATTAACAAATAAGTCGATAAAATTTAATTTTCAAAATATTACACTATCTTATCTCTAGGTACCGCGCGCAAGTTGTACTTAATACATTGTAAACGAAGCAAAAAAGACTACAAATCATTAAAATGAAGTTACGACTCTTAATTAGTTATATTAATAACAATGAAATAGTTAACTTTATCTCTAGGGTAGGAGGTTATCGAGAAAAACTACACCATGATTACTGAAAATGTTGTTAAACTGCCTTAATGTTCACTACAGGCATGTCTAAGCCATATAATAATACTATCGACACTGGAAAGCAATCTATCAGTATCCAGAAAATTAGACCATTGATTAGAATCTAATACTTATTCCATAATCCAGATTTACCTGTGAAGATTAAGAAATTTCTTTCTTCTCTTTGGGGTTAGTAAGAAGAACATCGGTTTTCTATCGGATACATTTCGGGGAGTGTGCGTTCTCCTTCAGTCGACTAGAAAGTCCGGAACGCTCCATCCATAAGCCGTGGATATAATACCAATTCACTCTAAGTGCTTTGCTTCCTTCTTTGGAATAGACTGCTCAGTGTTCATCGGCACAATTTTGGGCTATTTAAGGTTAAAGTGAATAGGCATTTTTTAGGCAACCGCGTACCATCGTCCGTCACAACGTCGCTTCATCAGGTGAGATAGTGACCCTGCTTGTGTCTATTATATATAAAAAAAAAAATTTAGCATTTATTTCATCGTAAACCGAAACATCTGTGACAGCTAAACGGGTCACTACCATGGATTTTTTGTCAATTCAAATAAGCAGAAAATGTGTTTTTGTAAATAACAAATTTTTAATAACAACCGGAATATCATTACAAGAAACTATGTGTAATATCCTTCAAATTTAAGTAAATACACACTCCTTCAATATCTAATTATATCTGCGGCAATACTATGTGGCAATGTATAGTTATATGTGTAATATTTAATACACGTGTTTGTAAACATTTTATTCTAATTAACATATTTCTTCATATCTTTAAGTGTAGGTATAATTGTGATCTGCATATACCTAATCTTAGGTTACATATTACATTATTTCATATTCAATATTTCATAATATAATTAAATGGGATATAATAATAACTGTACATATAAATTACTAGTTGTTTTTTATTGTTGAATTTCGTGGCAAACTTCAAGTGATGCAATACTTTAGCAATGGCCCATTTGTACTGCGCTATCTCAAGTATATTTGTTTATTGATTGTCTTGAATAAATAAAAAAAAAGCGAATGCTTCTTTGCGGTCCCTATTCTCGCACGGCAGCAGTACTTACTACCTGAGGCATAGAAAGCACTAGCGGGTTTCACGTCTGTTGGACCTACCCGGTGATAAAAGCTCGCCCGATGGATCCTCGGAGGCCTACCCACTAACGCCAATTAGCAGTTTCCTTTTACTTTTTTGTGTTTTAAAAGTTTGTATAATTACAGATTGTCTATTAGTTAAAGTACCTTAAGCGAGAGACTGGAGTCCAAAATAGGTAACTAGACCTGTGTTATAGACCTCCAGTGCCGTTTACAAATCACTCTTTTTTTAATAAATATAAATAT